CTCTCTCTCTCTCTCTCTCTCTCTCTCTCTCTCTCTCTCTCTTCCTAATGCCGTTATTCGTTACCGGATAACCGCGCGATCTTCCTTGAAAAATTACGTCCGGCGAAAAGAGGGCGATTTTTCGTGGTTGATGTGACCAGTCAGCACTTCCTATCGCTCGTATTGTTTCCCGCGATTTCTCCCATCGCGATTTTGCGCATTTTTCGAACCCTCTTTCCTCGAATTCTGGATGTTGGAGCGCTTTCCTCGAGACAACGTTTTAACATTCCTCCACGGTGGGAATCGAATTCTCGCTGGTAAATCGGGACCCTCACCGCATGTTTCCCCGCTCGTAAAAAGAGCATGTTTGTTCTCCATCGGTTGACACCGAGATCTGCTTCCCTAGAGGCAGGAAAGGTCGCGAGACACTCGCAGCTATCTGTTTCGTACACTCGCGTCGCTTTCAGCTTTCGGATCACCTTAGTGCCGCTCGTGCGCCACCCTCGAATAAAAGTCTCTCCTGCGAGCTAACGTGTCTCCTCTTCCTCCTTTTTTACGATCTTTTTACAGTACCTTCCACCTTTCCTCCACTTTTCCTGCGCCCTTTTGTACATTTTATAACATCCTCGCCAACTATTTTGCGATTTTTATCAACGATTCGTCAGACATCGATATCGAGTATCGACGGTTACGCGAAACACGCGGCGATGGAATGCAGAACGGGGAGGGAAAAATGCATGAAAGCAAACGAATGAAATTCGTGGAAATTCCGTGCGACCTTCGGTCCGCTCGATTCGCTAGCCATGAAAATCTAGTGTCGTCGAGGGATACACGGGCGCGTGTATCGCCGTTGTAAACAACGGCCTGATTGCGTATTACCTGCGGAAAACGGGATAAAGTAACCACGGGAGCGGACCGATGTCGCAGCACGGAACAACGCCCCCTTCTCTTGTATGCACGATGCCACGGACAAGCAAAGTTCTCGATAGTGAATTATGCCGCGACCGTGTCTCGAATCCCAGCGAGCGGATCGCCGCTCACATTCGGGATTCCGTGGCCGTGTTCTTGCAGCCGGTCCGTGGCCGGACTGGAAACGCGCGAACAAAGCGCACGTCGCGGCTCGCGGCTTAATTCACTTTCGATTCGCTACTTGTTGCGTTAATTCGCCGATGCCTGCGGACCGGACGCGCCTCCGCGAGGCCGTTCGTTTCCGGCAAGGTTAACGAGCATCGACAACCGGAGCTCGGCTGCGGTCGCTTCGTTATCGTCGTGTGTCATCGCGACAAGTCGCTAAATGCGAGATAAATCGCGCAGTTTAGCAAGCTTCCTTCTTCTCTGTCGAACGAACGACGAAGAAGGATCGGCGAAAGATGCAGTCAGAGCTTGGAAAAAGTCGCCTCGATCGCACGCGAATTTTCTCCACTTGCCAGAGCTTACCGTCGTTAACTTGGAAACGCGTAGACGACGTATCGGCAGGAGATCTATGCTCGGATTTAATTGAAGTCTCTGGAAGAAATTTTACTTGCACGGTTCGTAGCAGGACAATTTTATACGAGTTTGCCGGCTTCGAAACGGAAGCTGGGATAGCCAGAGATAGGTTAGATTAAATTTGCGAGAAGGAAAGGCGTGGTGCGAGATTGAAACGCACGTTTATTCCACGAAGATGGAATACGTCTGGTATATCTCGGGGACGCGGAGAGAAAGCGGAGTGAAATACGTCCGAGCGGCAGTCGCTGGGACTGCGATCGCCGATTCGAACAAGTCTCGATGTGCATACGTATCTAAACAACGATTTACGCTTTCCTTACAGGAACCCGAACGTGATCGATCACCACGGTCGAAACGACACGTTTCTGCCCATCAGCGGGGAGAAAAACCGTTTCCGTAGCTTGACGTGGGAACAATACGACCCGGTGCACCAGAAATACTTGGAGATCGGTGAGTCACTGAACACGCGAAATCCTGTAACGCGATTCCTGCGCCGCGGCACAATCCCTTTCGGCCGTCTAATTAGAGGGTAGTTTCGCCGGGGGTACTTTCGCGGTATGATTCCGTTTCAAGGGCCAGTAATACGCAGCGCGTGAATCACGTGCGAGTCGAATTAACGCGAAATCAAGAGGTCGACCGCCGGAGGCGCGTTTCCATCGCGGTGGAAAAATGAAGTGCTCGCTGTGGAAGCGGCTGGTTCCGTGGCTCGCTTGTCCAGCGTGGAAAGAGCCGAGAGGGAAAAGACGTTTCGCGAGGTCATTTTTATTTTCAGCGGCTCTCGAGCACACGGCAGATGACGTGAAAGGAACCCTTTGACCTGGAAAAGAATTTGCGGCCTTTTTCCCCGCCGTTTCTTTTCTCTCTCTCTCTCTCTCTCTCTCTCTCCTTTTCTCTCTCCCCTTCCCTCTCTTTCATCCGTTCTCACCCCGTCCACGCTTGCCCGCCTCGCTTTCTACCACCCCCCCTGGTCTCCCACTCCTTCTCGCTCTCTCTCTCTCTCTCGCTCGCCCCAGCCCCTTCGCTCTCTCGCTCTTTCTCTCCCGATCTCTTTATCTTTCTTTCTTCTCTACTCCACGCGCCGCGTTTTTTGCCGCGTAACGTAACGATGAACGCCGGCATAATTCCATTAGCATTTGAAGGCAATGTGAAAGCACTAATTAAGCTAATTAGGAATGTTTCATGGCGGCGATTCGCTTGATGCAGCGCGCGCGCCACGGTTCAAAAGGAACGCACGCGAAAATGTAACGAACTAATTGGAATAAAAAGGACGTCCCGCCAGGTGTAACTGACACGAGAGTGGTAAACTCCCCTTCTGCGAGTAAATGACCGGGAATATTCGTTTAACGAATTCTTTCGAACCGAGCATTCACCCGTAGCGAAGTAGCGTCGACTCGTGTCAAAGGCCCCGTGGACCGCGACGATACGTGCGCCACGTCGCAGAGGACGGGTCTTCCGCAACACGGGATGAACCGGCTGCAGCCCACGATCGTCCCTCCTTGCACGAATTCTCCGGCTCTCCACGTTTCACCGAGCATCCTCCGACGGAATTCCTCTACGTGATCCGGTAAAGTGAAAAAAGGAAATCCGGGACCCGTATCGGATTCTCATTGTATTCCTCTTGGACAAACACGTTCTCGCGCTCTTTCGAGTCCAGCGACGGGAATCGGAGGAATAAGAGGGAATCGGGCGGATAGATCTCGCAGCTATGAATTTTCCCGTTCGTTCGCGGAAAGCATTAGTCGGAGGAAATCGAAGGTCTTTCTGGATTTATCGGAAAGGATCCTCGGGGACCGGGGGGATTATTACGGAATGGTCCCGGGAGAAAATTCTGGAAATCCGTCCGAAATTAGCATCGTGGTCACGAAACGCGATTAAACTGTGCGTTATTCGGGTCGAGATTAATATTAGTCCTGACCGATTCGCATATCCTGCCAGTAATAACGGGTTGATGTAATCGTCCTCGGCGCTGTATCGAGGCCGGACGACCACGGTGAAATATTGAGCTGTCAAGTGTGTGCCAGGGGTGTATGATACTTGAGCGCGCTAGAAACTCGGCGAACGTATCAGACGATCGTTTCATTAATGAGTGATCAATAGCTGGGCCAGCGTAATCGTGCCGACTGTTGCTTAACCACAGCCCAGGCTATCGGCCCCGATACCCTATCGCGTATAATTTATTATTATCGTTAACCCCCGTCGGCCAAAATTCATTAGGCACTAATTAACCTGGCTCCAGTATTAATGATATTATCAAATTTTCGATGCTCGTCAACGAGTGCCCGGAGACCAGCCTTGTTATCATCGAGTTATGCGTCATCCATCGACTTTTCATCGTTCGGCGCGACTTTCGACGTCGAGCTGGACGCTCGGTTTCACCGGAAATTCCCTCTGCCGAGTTCCACGCGGAAAATGCCGGCTTCCCGTTCGATGCAGGTACTTTAATTAATTCCCCCGTCACTGACAAATCGGGTTCCCGCGAGCGTAGAGCACGTAGTTCGGATACTCGAAGACGAATAGGAAAGAAAGTCCGAGGAAGCTGACGTATGAGGTGTGGTCGCGTGTGCCACGGGCGATAAAAAGAGCCGGTTCTCTGGCACCGAGACAGCTTTGCGCTGCCGATGCACCGAGAAACCATTGCTCGCGTTGGAAGGTAAAAAGCGAAGCGAATCTTTTCGATCAGCGACACAGGCGGCGAAACGGATCACCGGCAGTTGCCGAACGATTCACTGGCTGCTCGGTATCGGCTGAAGAATCGGTGGGCGCGGCAGGTACATAGGTAGGAGTCAGCCAGACACGACGGGACACGTTCGCCGTTACCATTTCTCAGGGGGTGGTGAAAAATCACTGTGAAACGATAGCCCGCATTCCGCAGCCGCTTGCACGATCCTTGTAGCGTCGCGATCCGTGAAAAATGGGCCGTGAAAATGGACCGGAAAGGGTGGAGCCAGTGTGCCGGCCCGTGATTAATTTTTTTCCTTTGTCTTTCTTATCTGGCCGAATGAGCTCGCCTCGAGCCACCGACCGCTTCGTTACCAGCCAGCCGAGGGGGTAACTACCCTATTCTCGGTGTAGAGAAACCGCGTCTCTCCGGGCAACTTTGTTTTCGTGCAGGCTCGAGCTAATTAATTTAGTCTCGCGACGACCAAGGGGATGACGACGTTCTTTGGAAAGAGCGAAACGTCGAATAGCGGCGTTTGGTTGCGGCAGGTTAAGAAATGGAAACGTTTTTTCGTTTCGAATCGAAATCGCGAATTGCATTTGGCGTGAAAGCGAGCTTTAGACCGGATCCAGAGCTTCCTGTTCACTCGCGATGCCCAAATGATCATCGCTGTTCTCTCGTTATATTAATTCAGTCGAGGCAGAAAAGGTTTCCTCGACTCTCCGAAGCTTAATTAGCTACCACGTTCGTCGATCGATGTACCAAGGATCTCGTGCCTCGGCTCTGCGAGGAAAATTTTTGCCGGACGTATGAAAATTCTAGCACCAGTTTCATGGATAATTGAATCGAGCTGGCTGCTTTGTACGCAGCATTACTCGGTGTAAATCTTCGTTCCACGTAGCCAACCCTTATCTTCGATACAAACACGTCCCGCTTCGCCATCGATTAAGGTACCAGCAGCTTCCCCGTCGCTCGCACACACCAGGATCAACCGCAGGACTAAAACAACAGTCGGTCGCCATAATTTACTTGTAGTACACGTCCCGCCCGTTCTCCATCCTCTGCATCCACCGCACGTAAGCAAACTCCCTTAAGCATCGACAGTGCGAATTTCCAAGAATCCGCGACTTCGCGCGCGTCTCCCGCGACGCGGAGGAACGGGTAATTTCGAGAGCGAGGTACCAGCTTCGCGGTGAATTCCACGACAGACCGATTGATCTCCGAATTAATCTGTCTAATCCCTTTTCGAATCTCCGCTCGATCGAGTAACTTGTATTCTCGCTGTCGGTAAATTTCCGGGAGCCCACTTTTCCAGCCACGCCATGGATTATTGTATCGGGGTACGAGCGAACTTCCCAAAGATCTCGGACCGCGAGGAGATCTAAACCGCTTCTAGCCGGTTGAACAGTTTGTCAGGCGATGTCGTTCCGCATTCGGGACCGCATGCATCTAACTATGTCCGAACACAAACACGTTGCTTCGAAACCGCAGTTACCGGTCTCTCAACGGGGGTGTCGTGCACGCGATCGCGTAATGGTGTCGTGTGCCGCAGCTGCGAAGCGACTCCGGCCATCCTCGCCTGTTCGCAAACTACACGCGAGCACATTTGCCGCATCTGTACGATGCGTCTCGCCCTTGTAACCCTCTCGTCTGCCACGCGTCTACGACGGTCCTCGACTTGCCGAGTCGCGAAGAAGAGAAGAAATAGCGCGAAGGGGGGCGAATGAGGGAACCCGGAGGTGCGCGACGCGGGTGATTTCGAAAGCTGTACTTTGTGACCGCCCGAAGGGTACCCCGTTGACGAGCAAGTCGTGGTACAAAGGGGAAATAATTCGTGGAGCAACGTGGGACGATCAGCAATGGCGGTTTCACCGAGATACGATTCGGAGCAAGTTCGACGGATGATTTGTTGGCGACTGCAGCAGCTGCTGCTCGAACGAAGTTGCGTCAAACAGAGGAACAAAGCTGATAACGTTTGTCGATAGTTCCGATACACGTGGTCGTGGAAGAATATTAACATACCGTTTGAGAACGAAATTGCTCGCTATCGAACGCGAAGGAAATAGCGACAGGCTGGTAACGACACGCGTAAATCGCTCGTTGGTATTTTCTCGTGGCACGTTGAGTAGCTTAAAATGGATCAAAAATTCCTCCTCGGCCTGGCCGCAAAGGTATGGAGAAAAATAATTCACCCACGATGATGCAACTACAAATCGATCAGCGTGTTCCCCTTTCGCGAATGTTATACATCAGGCTCGAATAAATCACCTTATCGCCGATGCTCCGAACCCGACGTGCGCTTGAATAATATCATAGAAATATGAGATGAAAAAGAATTCGCGTTTGAAACGTTTCGAAAGTGATACACGTGTGATTGACAGTCTGTGATTGAATACGTGAAAACTGTACAAGCCCGTAAAGTTTTGTAATCCGCCGTGCAGTACGCATCAACAAAAATTCATGAAAATATATCGCGTTCCATGAAATTCAGCTCGTGGTCAGCCCAAGCGTGGTGTTCTCCCGATGGTTGCTCGGCATGTCGGCGCGTTTGCGCGACTTTCCAAACTTTCGGCGTTAAATGCTCGTGAGACTCGAATTCAGACCGGGAGACCCTTTCCATAAATGCATTCGTGCAAATTACACCGCAGAAACTGTGCAATCCGAAAGTTCTTTGTAGCCTGGAAGATTTCAATCACCCCCGTCGCTTATAGTCAGGAACCCGTATAAGATACGAACCCGCGGAATTACCGTTCATAAATCTCGGATGAATGGCGCGTGGAATTCGAGAGGA